ATTAGTTCTTATGTTTATTTTTAAGCGCTTTAATAATTTTTTTAAATAGTTTTATTATTAAAAAGCATTTAAGGACTTAATATTTTTTAAGCTTTATAACTAATTATTCTTATTTAGTAATAAACTTTATAAGATTTTTAATAAGTTTTTTTAAGCATTAGTTAATAAAGTTTATATAATTAAAATATATTATTTAATTTAATATAGCGCTTATAAGTATACTAATAGCTTTTAAAGTATTATACTAAAATTTTAGCTTTTTTTAGCTTAAAGTAATAAAATTAATACGCTACTAATATTAAATTTTAAACTTATATTTTTAATTTAAATCTTTTATTAATAATTAAAGTATATTTTTTTACTTTACTTTTATATAAGCTAATTATAAATTTAAAGTTATTTTTAGCGTTTATAATAAGTTTATAAAATTTAGTTATAAGATTTATTATATTAATAAGTTTTTTTTTATTTATTGCTAATAAGTTCTTAGCTATATTAAAGCTACTTTAAGTCTTTTTTTAGTTAAGCTTTTTATTAAATTTGCTTATATTAAGCTATATTAGCTTTTTTAGCTAAAAAACCTTATTTATAAAGTTAATATACTTTTATAAGTTAAAAAAATAAGCTTTTGCTTTAAACTTTTTATTTTAAGCATAAAACTTTTTTAAAAAACTTAAAATAACTTTTAATTTTATTGCTATAATAGCTAAATTGCTATATTTATTATACTTTAATAATAATAGTAAATAAATAAAACTTTTAATTATTAAAACTTAGTAATATAGCTTATAATATATAATTATATTGCCTAACGCATAAAAAGAAATATTTTCTTTTTACTATAAAGTTTTCTTATACTAAATAAGTAAAAAAAAAACCTTTATAAAAAAACTTTTTCTTTTATAATAATCTTTACCTTAGCTATATTCTTTTTACTATATAGGCATTATATTAATTCTAGTGTTCTTATAACCTATTAAATCTAATACCTATATATATATACCTAGGTGCTTGTAGTTTAATAATGTTAACCTAGCAAACTATAAGTATTTACCTGCTTTATATATTAGAGCGTGTTTATTTGGTTAATTATTAATTATTAAAGTAAGGAAAATTAAGAATTATAATAATTGTATTTTTTTAAACTAATTATAACAAAACTTTACTTTTAGTAAACTAAAACTTATTTATTCTTGCTTATAGCTTTTATTTAATTAAATATAGTTATTTTACTAAAAAACCTAGTAAACTTATTAATAGCTTTTTACTTAATTATTTTAATTATATAATATTTTTTTACTTAGCTTTTAGTATTTAAAGCTTTTAGCGTAATAAAAATAGTAAATATAGCTTTAGCTAAATATATTACTTTTAAACTAGCAAATTTAACAACGTTTTTATAGCTATTAGTATTATAAAAAGCATAAATAGTTATAATTATGCAAAATTAACAGCTTTTTTAAAACGTATAGTAGCGCCTTGTTATTAATATAGTTGCTATTATAGTAAGCAGTAATATAAAGTATTTAAAGCATAAAATTTATATTAATAAATAGTTAGTAAAATAGTATTTATAATAGCTTTTTAATATTAGTAATAAGCAATTTTAAAAGGTATTTTAAATATAAAAAGTAAATTATAAAGCCTTAAAAAAGTAGTTATTATTAATTATAACTATTTTAAAAAAGTTAAAACTTATAATTAATAAAAAATTAGTTATTTTTTTAGCCGCTTAAAGTATTACTATTTATATCGTTTTTAAGCAACTTAAGCATAGTAACTATGCTATTTATACTATATTTTATAACGTTTTATAAATATTATTAAAGTTAGCAAAAGTTGCAATTATAATGCTAATAATAGTAAAAATAAATTTAAAAATAGTAGCAAATTTAAAGTTTTACTTTTATTTTAAAAACGTTATTAATGCTATTAATAGCTTATACTTTAAAGTTAAAATTAATAGTAATAAAAAAACTTGCAAAACTTTAAAAAGCTATAAAAGCTATATTTTAACTAACGCTTTAATAGTATATAATTTAAAAAAATAATTTATATATATATTAGCTAGTTAAAAAAAGTTTGCAAATAACTTAAAAGTTTTTAATAGAGTAACTAACTATAATAAGTTAAAAATACTACTAAAGGCCTTTTTACTAAGTAATGCTAGCTTTGCTATAAAAAACGCATATTAATACTATATTAAAATATTTAATACTATTTTTAAAAATTAGCTAAAAATAAGTTAAAGCTTATAATAAAAAAAGATTATATAACCTATACTATAGCTAACTTTAAATTACTATTAAATAAGCATTTAAGCAATTAAAAAACACTTTTTATTACTTTTAAGTAAAAGTATTATATAATATTAACACCTTTATTTAGCTTATTTATGCTACGTATATTATTTATAACTTTATATTTAACTATAACAACTTTACTATTATAAACCTTATAAACTTATATAATATAAAGTTATAAATAAATAATAATAGTATTAACGCTAAAAATAATAAGTTTTTAAAGCTTAAAAAAGCTAGCAATGTTTATTTATAAACTTTAAATATAAAGGACTTAAAAGCTAATATAATATAAAAGTTATATATATAACTTATTATAAGGCAAAAAAGTTAAAAAAGGTAGTATTATATACAATTTTATTAAAAAACCAGCAATTTTAACAAAGTAATAGCAATTTTAACGTTTTTAGTAAAATAACAGCAATTTTAGCAATTCTAGTTTAAAAAACAGCAATTTTAGCAATTTTAGCAAAAAGAAAACCGTTTTTAAGATTTTAACAAAAAAACGTAAAGTATAAAAGCTAGCTAGAAAATAGTGTTATAACTATTTTTTATATATATTATATAAATAAAATCCTATTTTTATAGCAAAATTTATATAATATTAATAGTATAATTTAAATAAGTATTTATATTATATTATAATATAAATACTTTTTTTTAAAAAGAATTACCTTGCTACTTTACTAAATATACTAAACTTACTACTATTTTTACTAGCACTTTTACTACTACTTTTACTACTACTTTTATTAGCACTTTTATTAATATTTTTGTTGCTTTTTTCTTATTTTTAAAGCTATTTTAACTTTTTAAATTTTATAACCTTTTGCTTAATAGCGCTATATTATACGTTTTTAATTTTTTTGCAGCATTAATACTAATTTTTAAAAGCTGCTTTTTAAGCTTTGCTATTAAGTCTTTTACTAACTTAAAAATATAATAGTTATAATAAAAAGCTAAAATAGCTATAATAACTTTAAAATAGTGTTTTTTTATAAAAATATAATTAACTATAATATTAGCTTAGTTAAAAGTAAAAATCTTTTTATTTTATATATTATATATTCTTTTTAACGCTAACTTTAGCTTATAGCTATAGTATTTAATAGCTAATTTTTTAGCTTTAACTATTAATTTTGCTACTAAACTAAGCTTTTTATAAATTAACGCGCTGCTAATTTAATTAAGCGTTTTTAAGTTAAGGTTTATAGTAGGTTTTTGTTTACTTTTTTACTTTTTTTAAAAAAGCAACTTATTTTTTAAATCTTAAAATAGCTAATTTAAATTTAGTATAACTTTGTTATTATTATTATTAAATTTTTAAGTATATAAGCTAACTATAAGCTTACTAATATCTTTTAGCTTTAGTGTAAAAACTTTTTTTATTAAATTATAATGCTTTAAAGTTTATACTTAAAAATAAGCTACATTTTTATAACTTTATTATTATAAAGTAGGTATAAAGCTACTAAGTTAACTAGTAAAGTAATTAACTTAAAAGTAACTAGCTTAAATATTATTAGCAGCAGTTATAAGCTTTAAGTTTTTATTTTATTTAAATTTACTAGCTTAATAAAAATTAAACTATATAGTAGCCTTTTTTTAAAAGTAAGCATACTTATTATAAACTTCTTTTATATTTATACTTTTTTAGCGCTATAGTACTTTTTTAGTATATTTATTAACACTATAAAGCTATTGCTTTTTATTTTATTAAAAAAAGTATAATAGCTAGCACCTAAGTAGTTTTTAATATACTTTAAAAAAGCTACTATTAACGCTAAAGTTTAATAAAAATAAAAGTTATTCAAGCTAGTAATAGCTTTATATTAGCTTTATATAGCTAAAAAAAAGGCAGCTAGGCTAGCTAAGCTAGCTAAGTTAGCTAGGTTAGCTAAGCTAGCTGCTAAATTAGCTATATAAATAATCTATTATAAAAAAAAGTATAAATGTAATACTTAGCTTTTAATTTTTTAATTTTTAACTACTTATAACTACTTTAAAAGCTTTATTTTATATATTTTAAATTTAATACTTTAATATCTTTTATTTACTACTATTTATAATTAAAAAACGCTAAATTTAGCCTTTTAATAAATCTAGCTACTTATTATAAGTTTAAACTATTTATAGTAAGCTTTTACTATTAAAAAAAGCATTTATAAAGCAGTTAAAGCCTTTAAAACTAGCAAAAATAGCTTTATTTTTATAATAGCAGTAATAAAAGCTTTAAAAAATAATTAAGTAACCTTTTAACACTAAAAATAGCATATATTTAAAGCCTTTAATATAGCTTAAGCCTTTACTATAATAAAAACACAATAATTCTTTAATAAAACATAATTTAACTTATTTATTTTATAAAAAGCTATTGCTATTGCTTAATTACCTATAACTTTGCTTTATAATTAACCTACTTAGCGTTTTAATTATAATAAGCATATTATAAACTATAATAATAATTAATAATTAACTAATAAAACACAACTTTAAGTAAGTAGTTTACAATTTTTTCTTTTATATGTTTGCTACTTTATAAGAAATATACTATAATACTTGTACATTATAAACAGTAAGCATAAAAAACCAAATACCTAGATATTAAAAAATCAAAGGGAAAGAAGGTTATCAAATGATAATAGCACATATATAGGTAGACAAAAATAAAAAGATATTTTTTCATATTGAATAAATTGAGAGCTGCAGGATTCGAACCTGCGCGGTTTCCCATCGCGGGCTTTATAGTATGCCAGGACAAGCCCAACACCACCTAAACACGACGCCTTAACCACTCGGCCAAACTCCCATGTCCTATAACATATGGCTTTTTAGATACCATATTTTGGACTAAGCCGGCTGACGCGTACTTGTAAGTGAAACTCAATAAGATAGGCCAGTCCCCACCCCACTGAGTGTAGCACACTCTATCAAGGGGGTTAGGTTCGATTCCTGACAGCGCTATTGGCATTCGCTTGGTAGATCATTTGGTAGCGCTGTCAGCAAAGTGGCTGTGCCCCTTGCATTGGAGCTTTGAGGTCAACCGTTCGATTCCCGCCCTCTCGTCTTTTCGACTGACTGAAAAGAGTGCCCTAACTGCGCGGGGGCTAACAGGTGTTGGCAGGTGGGAAATGGGCCGAACGGGTATGCTGTGTGCTACCGACTGTCACTCCCCTCTGCTGCGTGAGGTGCGGGGGCGCACCTACTTCTGCTGATATCTACTGAGTGTAGCACACTCTATCAAGGGGGTTAGGTTCGATTCCTGACAGCGCTATTGGCATTCGCTTGGTAGCTCATTTACCCCCTGCATATGAGTACGTGATGTTGGCTCTTCTTGCATAGTGCATGTCAAGGTAGTAAATCCAGTGCAAATATTGCTACTTAGATCATATTGTTTGTCTACGTGATGCCGGGTATGTATGGTACGAATCGGGAAATACGTATCACTATACATCTAACCCAAGCGCAAAGAAACATGCTCATGCTTGAGGTTGTGTGATATCCAATGAATATGTTATCCACCAGTATTCTGCCCCGAGTGCTTCTACTCCGACTTCTTGCACGGGCGATATATAACACAAGCCTAACACGCCTTAGCAGCAGTCTTGTACCCACGATGGCTACACTATTGCACAGTGTATACAAGCTAAACCTGTTATATGCCCAGCAAGGGGCGATGCCCTGGTTAGCTTTGACGCACCATTTGCCTCCGCATTACCAAAGACTTGCTCAAGACTCAAGAATGGCCCCGGGGGCCCCAACCCCCAGACGCCAAAGATCTCGCCAAAACGAAGACGATAAAACCACCCATTGGAACATCTGTCAGCTCTGTGAGACGAGCAGGTTTGTCGACCGCCAGAAAACAAAATGGCTCTTAACCATGGAAGCCAGTATTCTGACCGACTCAAATGTTCCCAAAACGCCGATGTGACCATGCACAATGCACCTTGACCTGTCAAGATCGTATTTTCCCACTTCCCAGCCTCCAAACCTGCATGAAACGCCCTTGATCTTATACGCTAAATCGATGTGCTTGAACCACCCTCCGGCGCTGAGAGCTGGTTAAATAGTCGAACAATGACTTTAGACTCCCTGAGTCTAAGATTTCCTGTTTTACCAGCTGTGAACAAGAATGTGTCTAAATTCGATGGGAAAGGGGGGCGACAGATCCGTTTCCACATGCCCTAGAAAGCCCAGTTTATTTTGGGCTTCCAGCCCCGAAATGAGGGTTCTTATACACCTTGTCCAGTGAGTTGAAGTGTCTTGAGGGTGGCTTTAACAAAAATTGGTACGCCAGCTGTACAGAGGACACCGATGTTAAAGGGCGTCCGCTTTTCGTTGATGGAGGTTTGGAGCCCCAACGGTGGCTCAAAATGGGACAAGGATATACGACCTCGACAACAACTGTCAATATGGTTGGTCCCCAGCGGGGTTTTCTCGCTTGATGTCATGGCAACCCATCAATTGCAAAAGATTGACGCAGTGCAGACGGCAAAATACTCTGTAACCATCATTCGTCTTTCCGCTTCACCAATGTGTCGATTTCTGCTTTCATTCGATCAGCGGCTTCTTCTGGCCTCCTACCAAGCACAAGCCCAATGTAGCTAGTGCATTGGGATCCGTGGCTAAAACAATGTGTCGCGCCGGTAGCATGGGGTTCGTCTGATCCACAGAAGAAGCGTCTTTCGCCGCCTGTTCAATGGCATCCATCTCTTCTTTACAAGCCTGGTGATCCAAAGGGCAGATGACGATAGGTTGCCGAAGAGTAATATCTCTGGCCGATGTCATGCTCGCCTATGGAATATCATTAGCCGAAAGCCATCTCACAACACAACAAGGGACATTGACGTGTGCACGTACCTTGATGCTTAAGTAGAATTCTATCTTGTAGAGCGTTGAGGTTGTCGTGAATGAAGTCACCTCGTAGTTCGGAAATGCCGGCTGGCCTCTTCGGACAATACCGTTCGAATCCCTGAGATCCTTGTGTGGGAATACCACACCCATATTCGTCACATAGCCTTCCTCGGGAAGTTTCATTCCCACGTTATGGACGTGTTTTTGTACCCGGTTAACCTTCTTTGTTGGCTCATCACCTTCCGGATTGTAGGTGATCTCTTCCTCAATGGCCAAAGTAATACTTTTCACCGTTACCTTCCTGGCCTTGGCCATCCAGTCCAGGTTCGGGGCGAGTTTGATATATACCGTGATGGGATCCATTGGCCCATAGCTCCACCTTGGCAACGAAATACCCAGCGTGACGATGTTGTCGGTGCTGGCAATCTTGGTCTCGGGTCGATTGTACATCCCAAACGTCGAAAGCGTGTCATAACGTTGCAGTGGCACCGGAAATGCATATTTGTTCTGCACGCTTGAACCTTGCTGCACGGTGACCACCAACTCATAATATGTTTCTGCCGTCCTACTTGGAAGCTGTAAAGACGCTGGTGGTATCCGCCTATTGGTCTCCTCACCACCTCGTCCAAAGGGTATGAACAAGACGAAGGGCAGATCCATGGCGATCACACTGTCAGCCTCTCTACCCGAAGCACATCGATATAGTAGAAGCTCCTTTCCCACAACGTCCGTCGTCTCTCGTCGCGGTGTACCGAGATGGCGCTTGGCCATGTTTTCCGCGGCGGGGTGGATAGTTTCTCGCCGTTGCAGACATATCCGAACGAGGGAGATGGCAACAGGTGCAGAGTACCCCTGTTGTGGTCGAATTTCGACTTTACCTTCGATGCGTGGCTGATACCACATGTCAGCTGCTATTCATTATGCTGTTACGACCAGGTGCTGGGCGGGATAGTGTGAAAGAGCGGAATAGCTGTGTCGCCCGTCGAACTCTCTTACGACAACCCCGCGACAAGATTGTAAGGGATGAACGAAGGGGGGTAGTTTGCATGTCCCAAGAAATCGCCATGGTATACTTAAGCAAGAGGGGACGCCTATCCACAGCGTCCATGCTTCACTTACCAGAGTCGCCGAGATTCCTGGGTATCCAACCAAAAAGCTGCTATTTGGCGGGCCCGAAACGCGGACGAAGGCGGCCACTCGATCCGTCATATTGTAAAGCGGGAGGTAGTCGTCATCAAGGTGGTGATTTCCGGCAAGGAAGGACGGAAAAGTGGCAGGGTTGGCAGTGGCAGCAACCTCATCAAAGGCGCGGCCTCGACCACATCTAGAATCCGCCTCTGCGGCGATGCGCCGGTGGCCGTTTGGCGGATTTTAATCGACTGAGGCAATCCTATAGACTTGGATAATCGGCTGGCTCGAAATAGAGAAGTCGGTGTACAAAGCGGGCGATTGGCGGCTGGTGCCAGGCGAGGAGCAGCGTGCGCTATGCTACCGGTGGTCGAGGGCCTCACAAGTCTGTTTTGAGGAATCGGCTTGGTGATGGATGCTAGGACGCGATCTCTCTACCACAGCTCAACAGATTTTAGGCGAACGGGCAGTGTACCAGAACTAACCAGGATCAGATGTGCGGGGCTCCGAGAGGATGGTGAGAAGCTGAAACAGGATGCACGCAATACTGTATGTACTCGTAGGGTAGGTAGGTGTTGGATGTTCGGAATGTGTAAAGGTGGGTTAGCCTCAGGTTAGGTAGGCAGGTATCTCTTTAGATAAGTATGGGCGGCCAGGTGAGCAAGAATCAAGGGTCGGAAAGCAGTGTGGTCCATACGTTAGGAAGTGAGGTGAAGGATTAAGCTGTGTTCTCTGATCAAACGACCGGTTACCTACGAGTAGGTAGATAGTCTAAGGTTAGGTAATTGATTGATTGATACTCACCTTATTACTTCCTAGTCCGTGAGGCTGCAAACAGAACTAGATACACTCCACCCATTCGTAGATTTGGGCCAAAAAGGAGGGATGAGGGTGGGTGGCCGGGGAATACGATGAACAGTCCAACTGTACGCACGAGTAGGTACATCAATCTAGCATGTATTACTTGTAGAAAGATGGGGTTGATGAGAGTGACATGTACTTGTAGGCTAGGTACAAGTACACACCTACAATACAGAGCTCGTACAGTTGCTAAAAGTGGTCCTGCACAGTGTAATACACCCTCTGCAAATACGTGTATTATACTTGTATGCAGCTACAAGAGATTGAAACTACTCTAACAACATGCCTCTTTACGAGTACGAGTATGTAGGCAGACTTAAAGAGGCCCTATTCAAGTCTTTGAACTCATGTAAGTCAATACGTTGGCCCAGGCCATGTATTTAATATAGCCAAAACAAGTAAATTAAAATGTTCAAGCCTGGCGCACTTTAAACTTATATGGTAGGTAGGTAGTCAATATATTCCATAATGCTTGTATACGTGTTTGCTGTGCACTATATCTTGGCCCCCTCTCAGGGTAAGGGAATCCCCTTTTACGCATAGCTCATCAGCCCTCTACACGTGTATGGCAACTTACAGCTGCTCCTTGCAAAATCTATAAGTACATGTATGTTTATATGATCAAACTTTGGTCTGTTCTGTCGTAATAGCTGGCCGATGACGGAACACGGCGGTCCAAAGACTCACTTGTGCAAAATTATGATAAATGGTACCTACGAGGAGCATGTCCAAGCGGTCAAGAATGATGATATCAAGTTTGCATAAACAAAAATCTGTTACAATACACATCAATACGTTGACAAGTTAGTTCGATTGCTGCCAGTGCTCCATGGGTAGATTGTTGGAGGTAGTTGAGGTAGGTATTTGTCAAGTTCTGGCCAGAGAATAATGTTGGCAGATGATCATTCTGCCTTTGTATGATTGTGTTAGGTAGGTACCTACGTAGTGTAGTGTAGTCTAGATACC